ACCCGCCTCCCCCACCTCGGGCCCCGCCCCGAGCCCCGGCCCCCGGCAGCCCTCCGCGGGCCCGCGCGCCTGTTATTGTTGGGACTAGAGCCCAAACTGATCCCGCTGAGGCGGTCGCTTGCTCTGGTCAATGACTTCCGGGACTTCCCCTCCCGGGCGCCCAGCTCCTCTGACCCAGCTTGCTCGCTGCTCCTCCCACCGCTGCACATCAGGCCACTGGAAGGGGTGGGAAACCTGGATCCTAGATATTTTCGCTGGGAGCTGAGTCTCAGGGACTTTATTTTGTTAAACTACAGACAGTTGTTGCAGCGACTTTGAGTTAGAAAAACATAGTCAGTGTTCAATTTTTTTTTAAAATATGTATTTCCTATGTCCTTTACTACATTAGCGAAGGGGGCGCGTCGCGTAAAAGCAGGAGCTATACTCCCAAAGCAATTTAAACCTAACGTGTTAACATTCATTCAGTCACCCTAGAAAGAATTGTTGAGCACCTGCTCTCTGTCAGCATTGTGCCGAAGTCTCAGGAGTTGCAGCCATAGGACAGAAGCCTTGCAGAATCTAGTGTGGGATAGAGGTGGAAATGCATCATTGCAAGTCAGAATAATCTACGTGCTAATTAGAGTCACAAGCAATTTAATTTGATGGAGACTGTAAGAGAATGGAGTGACAAAAAGAAGCTATCCTTTGGAAAAGAGAAATCTACAAGACCAGGCAATGACTGAGTTTAGAGAGGAAAGAGAAACCATCTGGTATGTTTCTAACAGAGGCCTAAAAGAAGGATGGCGTCATTAACAATAGAAGAAACTGAAAAGGCAGAACGCATTGTGTGGGAAAAGTAAGTTATGGTGGAGTACCGAATTTGAGGTGCCAACTCAGCTAGTCAGAGAAGCTGTGTCATATGCAGGTGGACGTTTTGATCTGCAGCTCAAGTTGAGAAATATTTTGAAATCATGGGTCTGAAAAAGTCATGAATAAATATGATATTCAAAAACATGGAAGGGACTAAGTCTGAAATGAGAATTTGAGCACTGGAAAGGACTTTGAGGGTCATCTCTTTTAACTCCCCTTTTATACTTATCATTCAGTAATCCCTTCTACCAAATTTATTCAAGAAACATTTATCGAATACCTAAGAAACTGCTGTGGTCCAGGCCTACTGTACACATTGGTCCTACAAAGATCATCCAGAGGAGCTTAAATTTTTCTTTCTTTCTTTTCTTTCTTTCTTTTTTTTTTTTGAGAGGTTTTTGCCATAGGGTGCATGTGCTTGCCAGAAAGACAGAGAGACACAGAGAGATAGAAAATGGGGGATGACCACTCTGCAATCCTTTCTCCCCACTCTCCTCTGGGGAGTTTGGGCACGCACGCACACATGCCCAGCGTGAGTTTAAGCCACTGGGACCAGGTCTTGCGGCCGACTACATGGGAGTATAACAACATCACCATTACGCCAAATGCTGGTCCCAGAGCTTATATTTTGGTGGAGAAGGCTAACATGTAAACAGATCCATGTTACCAGTGCCATATTGGCGGTATGGACTGATACAACAACATTACAGTAAAAAGAGCTCAAGGAACCCATCAAATTGAGTATGAAACTCCAGATGAATCTTGACTATAAAAATAAAGTGAAGAAGTTTATCTCGGCTACGAGGCGAAATAGGCTGGATTGCAGGCTTAGTGAAGGGTGGTATTGGAGATGAATGGAATTGACTACAGCTAATTTAATGGGAGAACCTGGAGACAAGTCTAGAAAAGTTATTAGGGATAAGATCTAGGATAGGCTAAGAATCAAGATTTTATTTTGTAACATTCAGAAATAGCTAATGAGTTCTAGAAAGAATGACCTTATCAGATTCTCCCCACCCCCGACTTTTTGCTATCGGGTACATGCACTCACCAGAGAGAGAGAGAGAAATCACCCCCTAGAGAGATGGCCACACTGGAATCCCTTCTTCTCCATTCTCTTGGGATTTGGGGGATGCATGCACACATGCCTGGTGTGATTTTCAAGCTGATGGGTCTGGAACCGAATAGTGGAGTTGGCTATGTGGGATTCAGCAGTCTTAACCTCCATGCCACCTGATGGTCCCCCATTATCAGATTTTTACTAATGAGACAGGAGGGCAGGGAATGGATTGGAATAAGAGCAAAACTTGAAGCCAAGGTGAGTGAATCTGGAGTTAAAGGGAGTGACAATGGTTCTGAACCACACCAACAGTGTGCTTTGAAATGGGGAACTGACTGGGGGAATATTTGTGAATGTAGTCACTGATCTGATGAAGGAGTAAGGAGGGGTCCAGGAGAAGTCTAGGTGGTTCCTTTCACTAAGTAAATAATACAAGAAAGGGAACTGGTTTTGTTGGTTTAGGAAATAGAAGAAAAGATTATGGATTCAGTATTGAGTATTATGGCTAATGTGGCAAGCAGTCAGTCATGCACTAAAACTTCTAGTAACACTCTCTGGTACAAACCATCTCATTTGTGGGACTACTCCTTTCATAGGACCATTGAGTGATATCCTTGAGGTCACAAAGCTAGCAGCCATGCAAGGCATTATGAATTGCAGACTGGCCTTCTATTAACTACATAGAACTGCACCACTGGCAGAAAATTTATCTGTGAACATTTATGGGAGCCTTTATAGAAGAAGTAAAACCTGGGCTGTTGCCACTTCTACCTCATACTAATACAGTGTGAACTATCCAGATGGTAAACATCTAAAACAAGGCGAAAGAGCATATACATTTTCTCATCCCTGTTACCTACCATCTAATATTTTAAAGGGTTGTTATAAGTGGAGAGTAGAGAGGTAAAGAGATTCCAGATGAGATTAGTGATAGGGAAAGGAGTACTGAGGAAGTAGGAGCAAAGTGAGGTTATATCTACAGCAGCGAAACCAAAAGATCTTGGCAACTGATGTCATTTGACTATTTCTATATTATTTTGTACTTCAACTTCCTGGGTTTTGCTTTGGAAATACAGGATTTGCTACTCCAGTTAGAGAACATATGTGGAGACCCCTATTGCTGTTCCTACAAATGGAATTGTAATTAAGTACAGATATGGGACAGGATTGCTGCTGTCGCTGCCCCTATTTTGTCTCCATTTTTCCTGATTGTGTCACTCTACTAAGTTGCAAAACCAATTATGGAAGGCTGTTCTGAGATGACCAAATATTTTCATGGGTACTCACACCAAAAAAATACAAGGGGCATTCGTTTCTAGTACAACACCTGGGCAGAGTTGGAATTTTAGTTTATATTACTTCTCTTGCTCTCCAGGTGCTGCTCTACCCAACTTTGTCGTCTTTGTTTACTTGAGAGTTGATGCATGCTGAGAGAGTGGAAGCAATACTTGGGGGCATTTTACCCATGAGACCCAGACACATAGGCCTGGGGAAGACCTGAGAATTCTAATCTGGACTCAGAGTGGATAGGTCCACAGAAGGAAGCATCATAGTACCCAGAGGCATCCCACCACCAAACTAAATTGCTCCCACGAGTCCACGCCCCAGTTCTTTCCTACAAAGTCTCAAAAAGAGAACTTCAGGGGTTCCTTTGGGTAATCTTTAAGAGCAAACCCAAACTGGGCAGTGTCTTCGTTGCAGCAGAGTTCATTGACATGGACTAGGGCTTGTAGCAGTCACCGCTGACTGCATTCATTGGCTAGTAAATGAATGAGTGCTTTGAATGAAGACTGGGAAGAGTAGAGTTTCAGGAAGGAACCACACAGGATAGTTAACTATGAAATGCCAGCAATTAAAATGTGTATTATTGTAACATATTTATTCTTATTTATCCCACATTAAGCTATTTAAACATAAAAATAGATCAACAGAATTTTAA